GCCATGCTGTAACGCCCGGGCCACTGCCTGTGGGCTGTGGGGAGAACCTGCCCCCCTGCGTCCGTGGTGCCTTGGGGAGCTCAGGCGGTGGCCTCAGGGGTCCAGGCCTGGCTGCAGGGTGCCCAGAGCTGCCCGCCAGCCTGGGGGCTGATCCGGACCTTAGTGACAGCCTCTAGACATGGAGCCATCCAAAGCCCCATCCCTACGCCTGAGCCTCAGCTTTCAGCAACACTCGCTCTTCAGCACCCCCCAACCACCACCACCAGCCCCCTCCCCAAAGCCCTTTACTCCCCTCCGCAGGAAGGCGATCTGTTGGGGCAATCTGTGGGTGGGGAGCAGGTGCCCCCCAACATCCCCATTTCTCAATGCCTTTCTGTGTGGAGCAGGGCGAAGTCTAAAAACGGAGGGAGATCGCTGAGGGAGAAACTGGACAAAATAGGATTAAACCTGCCAGCCGGGAGGCGTAAAGCTGCTAACGTTACCTTGCTCACGTCGCTCGTGGAGGGTAAGTAACTCAAAGAGCCTGGAGGGCTCGTTTGGAAAATGTGCCTGTTGCTTTTGTCTAACAGGAGAAGACTTGGTGTTGGGTTGTTGGATTTTTTTCTTTCCCCCAAGTCAGTGCTGCTTTTTAGAAATTGGAAGTGCATTATTTTGTATGCCTCAGGAAAAAAAAACCCAACAAACCAACGTTAATTGTGTGCCATTGCTTTTTGTTTTAACCTGAAACGGGCTTCCGCGAGTCCTGCAGACTCAGCATTGCATTCTACCACTTATTTGCTTTTAAGTCTCTGAGGAGACGTTTTCAGGGCCCCCCGTCTTGCTCCCTCGTTCAAGTGAGTGATCCCTCCCCAGAGTAAGCAGATCTCATTGGGAGCAGCGTGGGAAGGATCCCTGCAAACAGGGGCTGTGGGCTCAGCCCCATCCGAGACCCCTGAGTGCCGAGTTGGAAGTTAGGGGGAGCAGAGCCTCGGATGCTTCACTGCCATCCTCTGCCACAGGTGGACAACCGAGCAATTTTAAATGTCAGAAACTGCAGCTACTTTGAGTTTGTTCTCCCTCCCAGCCCACAGCCACATAACAGTAAATCATTTAAGTTTTCTGACATCTGCATTTGAGAAATGCGTGACCATTACTTCCTGAATTAATTTGGGAATCCTTGACCTCAGCCATGAATTAACGGTGTCCTGAAAGCCTCAAAGTTGTACCACCCCCCCCACCCCCCACCCCCCTTTTGGTTCTCATTTTCAGAACACATGTTCCTTGGCTATATTGTTCTCCTCTACTTTGCTCTGGCCAGAAAGGGCGCAGCTCACTTGTAACGCCCTGGGACGCTCTACGCTGTCAGAACCGGGCGGTGGGAAGCTCGAGAGTTTGCGGTCGTTTAGTTTTGAAGCAGTTGCGGTCTCACGCTGACTGGCGCAAAGTAAAGCCCAAGGCCAGCACATAGATCCTCCTCCCTTCCCCTCACCTATGGGTCCGACTGCATTTCAGACCGGTTCAGTCTGCAAAGCGCTTTTAAGCTCAGCCCGGGCTGCGCAGGTTTAGCTTGAGTTTGGTTGTGCGGGAGGGAATTTGTTGCTTTGTTTTGCTGTCGCTTCGCATTCTGCGAGGAGTGTTTCACGTTCAAAGGGACGGGGGAAGAAGCACTGCGCGATGCCAGGCTTCATTTTTTTAAACATTGGGATAAGTGGCCGCACTATATTTATACTGTGTGAAAATTACTGCGTCTTCATGTTTTTGAAAGGGCTTTGCAATTGCATCGACGGCACTGTAGTAAAAAATCATGAGGGGAAAACTTGTAAAAAGTCTAGATTTGGTAAATGCTTCACATTATTTGTGATGTTAATGAATATGGAGAAGGTTTTATGGTAATCTGGTGTTCTGTTTGGCTTTCACATGCGATGGCTTTAAAAGAATGATTTTTTTTTAAAAACCAAAACCAGAGGCCCGACCTCCAGATAACTTGGCGATGGCGGCTAATTTTGGGGGGATGATAGTGTAAGCATTGCTGGGGCTTTGAGTCCTGTAGCGATGAGGCAGTTTCTAGAGTACTGTTATTGTTTATGATCCGCTCCATTTTATGGAAACAAGCTCACTGGACTGAGGCTTTGAAGCTCTAATTGGCGCATGCGTTCTTCCGGAGCTAGAGCTAATGGCAGGAAGCCCTGCAGTAAAAACCAACTGGTTCAGGAAATTAAAACCAAAGATTTGAAAATCAACAAAACAGACAGACTCGGTGGAATGACCCTAAAATTCTCATGGTTAATCGTTTGGGGGTGAACATACAATTATATGCGATCAAGTTAAATTTTAAACACTTAGCTGTTTAATGCATTTTATTTAGGAGAGGTCTAGGAGTAATTACGATCAATATTAATCATTGATGCATTGCAAAAGAATATAGAGACGTGGCTGAGGCAAACAAACATTTCCAGAGTAAATAGCTGGGATCAGAAAGGTACCTACAGAAATGGCTGTGTATAGGCATGGATATGTAAATCTAAGCACACATTCTAGGTGGATGGAGCCTGCCTGTCTAAAAGTATCTGTTAGTCAATGTAAACTTTAAAAAAATTCTTATGCGCGATTTCACTTGCAACGATTGTCATGAAAATACACATTTGCATTGCCCTCGACTGAAGCAAAGGAAGCTCCTGCAAGATAAGATGCGATTAGCATTTCTTACCCTACCTTTTTCAAAGAAAAAAAGTCCAAGCCTTTTAGAAGAAAAGCCCAAGCAGACTATAGTGCTTTTTTTTTTTTTTTCCTAATGGATTTTTGCCTCTGTGCGATGTGTACTGATGAGCTGTGTGTTTCCCTCCCCTCCCCACCCGTGCCTCCCTTTTCAGGAGAAGCAGTACATCTAGCTAGAGATTTTGGGTACGTTTGTGAGACAGAATTTCCTGCCAAAGCAGTAGCTGAATTTCTCAACCGACAACATTCCGATCCAAACGAGCAAGTCACAAGAAAAAACATGCTTCTAGCTACAAAGTAAGACGTTTACCTTTCTGGCACGTTGCTCAGGAGTGAGGGGAGGGCGACAAACCCGGGTTTGGGGCTTTTATTTGTGAGTGTTTGCCACGTAGCCAGTGGCTGGTGGTTTTGCAGATTGCGAGGGGGTGTATTTGCCCTGCCGCTGTAGGAGAACTCCATAACCCAGCTTGGTTTCCATCAAGTCAGTTCGTGCAGATCACCTTGAAAGCGAGTCGTGAAAATTGTGGGTGGATGTTTAGTTAAAGAAAAAGCAGTAATTCTTCAGAGCAAAACATTTTCCAGGCCTTTTCACTTAGCTTATCAATTTAGGTAGAAGGGGAAGGCTTCCCATTGACAGTAAAATAAAACGGGCGCATTAAACTGATTTCAGTTCATTAAAATCGGCAACGGTTCTTTTCTGCCTAAGCAGCTCTGTTACTTAGTGAACGCAGGGATATTAAAAATATATTTTAAATGACAATCTGTATGCAGTTAAAATGCTAGCAGAGTTTATCACTGGTGGGGCTGCCTAGACTTCCAGGTGGTGCGTGAAAAGAAAATGATTGTTTTGATATGTTTGCTGGAAATTAAAAGGGTTGTTTAGTAGCCCTTAATTACCAATGGAGGTGTCAGCAAAGGGCACAGTGCCAGAGGGCGCAGGCAGAAGATGGGAGCCGCTTTATGGCTGGAAGACATTAAACCCGGCTTTTAGAATACAGACTGTTTCAACATGCCTCTCAGCTCTCTTGCTGTAAGGTGTGTTATTTCCCCCACCATTTGTGCAGGGAGTGGATGATACGACCGAACTGCTGCACCGTGCCCTTGTATCCTCTCCTTCCACCTCCCTGGAAGGAAATTTCCAAACCCCAGTTAGCGTCAGCCTTCCCCTCTGTGGGAAGGTCCCTTCGGATTTGGAGATAGAGATGTACATATATAAATGTTTCAGACTACCCTAATTTAAAGCCTCGATTCCCCTCTCTGCCCTCGCTCTTTCTTCCCGATGCACCAGGCGTGTTTTAGCCTTGTGAAGGAAGAGGCCCGCGCCTCTCTCCAGTTCCAAAAAAAAAAAAAAAAAAAAAATTTTCCAAGATGGGGAAAAATCTCTACACCT